TCCAAATTTGAAAATAAATAAATAATTGTTATAATTCTTTTTCTATCCTTTACAAATGATTCAAATTTTAGTATGTTATTATGGATGATAACGACTACCAGTTGTCAAAATTTCAGCTTTTCACAGTTGTTATTTCTAACAAATATTAGGTTTTAAAATTTTGTCCCTTGGACGCTACTGTATATGTCACACATTATGAAATGGACAAAATCCAACGATAATTTTAAGACATTTTTTATGTTTATACATTCTTTCTTTTATAGATACAAATATTTAAGTAAATGCTCTGTTTATAATAATCAGTATTAATAACATTTACCGGCCTGAATATCCGAGAAATTGTCATAGAAATATGCGCCCTCCGACAAGAATCGAAACTGTATCCTATAATGAACCGTAATATGGCCTGACGTGTTTTTACAGATTTCACCACAGAGAAGTGCTTCGGTTAGAAAGGTCGATTTTAATGTTTTTATTTTCACATGTTTCAGTGAGTGGAGAGCAAGTCCTGTATTACTGCGAGCGACAAAGCTACAGTAGCATGTAAATTTATCATTGCACGTATTAGCATTAGTTTTCAATTTTAATATTTTCATTCAGCGAGGCGCCAGCTCCTTCGCTCTGAAGAAAATCGCATGTTTCATTGCTTCAAATTATCTTTGAGTTTGTCTTTGGAACGCAAAAGTGGACTTCCAGCTGACTTGCTTGTTAGAATCTGCCCAAAGAGGAGTTTGTTTTTTTTTAAGTCTGATATTGTTCACATCAGAAAGATGTCCTACCCACCTGAGTTGGGTTTTCATTAGGATGGCTTCAATACCTATCATGCATTTAGTCGAAACTTCATTGTTTCTAATTCGATCACGCTGTTTTCAGTTGCAGATGTTAAAGAGGAAAACATTGTAGAAGACCAAGTTTATTGATGTTTCGTCGGTACAGAGTCCAAGATTCTGCACCACAGAATAAGAGTGTCAGTACTATTGAAATGTATACATCAATTTTCCCCTTTAACAAAACGTCACGAGTATTCCGAAACCTGTGGTAAAGATTACCGACGGTTAAACCCACCGAAAGTTACCATTGTGGTTGTCCCATTTGCATTTATTGCCTTTGTTTTCATAGAGATGAACAATAGAAGTGTCCTGAGGAAGTGATCATGTATCCCAGATTAGAGAAAAACGATCACAAAGTTTACGAACCAAGGAATTGCTGACATACTTGTTTATCTCTTCTGGTATGCCATTGTTGCACAGCGGCTTTCAATTTGTCAGTTGATTCATGGGCCTTTTTATCTCAGCATTAGATGGAATAGCTGATAGCCCTTTAAGAATAGGTCACTGTGGTAAGTTGTTGATATGATTCTCATCAACATTTGAATTCATGTTTAGAACATTTCAGAAATGTTCTGCCCACGTTTAGCGATCACTTTTTTGTCCGTTAAAAGGTTGAGATCGGAAGAAAAAGATGGGAGTTGAGTCACTTGAAGTAGTTTCAAAGACACCCCTTGGATTCTGGTAGAATGATTTAAAATTGCATCTATCAGTAACTGTATGAAACTGACCCAAGTAATCTCTATCTGACAAAGTCTCTCCGTACAAGCAGCAAAACGTTCTCAAGCCAAAAAAAAAAAAAAAAACCTGTCTATTGTCTCTCGCGTGGTGTTTTTTATGCCGAGCTGATCTCGCAAAAAAATTTGCATACGCCAAACCTCTCTTACCAATTCTCCTAGCTCCGAGACTGTGTCTTTCTTAACTTAAGTTGTCGGGGTGGCAATATTTTTTCCTTTCGAAAGGAAAGGAAAAAATATTCACTCGTTTTGCACGCCAGGCATGTTACCTGCTCGCTTTGCTACACCAAGTAAGTCGTCTTCTCTTCTATAGTACCCTCCTGCAAAGTTTGTGACTTCTCTAACAAGCATGCTCGTTTCATTTACTGTAGTTGAAATTGGTATAGGCTTCTTTCTTGAATTAATTGCGCTTTGGGACATTGTTCTTCTGTGACGTCCATTGAAGACGGCGCTTGTGCATATTATCCGAAAGAGGGAGAATACTAGGATAATTTAAATCAAACTAGACTTGATGATTACTCTTGATATATCCAAGAGTTTCCTGGCAAAAATCCTATGCATCACTTTTGAAAATAGACCCTATTGATTCAGTGTCTGCACTGTCTGGAATACCTGCAATCTTGCTGCAATCTTGCTGTCACAAATGATTAGAAAAGATTTTAAGTTTTCAGTGTTGCTGAACTTTTTGACATCTACTTTTTGAGCCGGTGGTCTGCGATTGTTACGAACCAGGCTACGGATAGTGGAGCTAAACTTGAATCATGTTAATCTATCGTCAGATCAACACTCACCAATGGAAAAGTAATAAGTCATTTTTACATCATTCTCGGGAGAAAACCTCATAATCACATAGTCAATCAGATCATAGTCGTTGGACCGGGGATATCTTCAACTAGTTAATCTGAAAGATTGTGTTAGTCATCAAGGGCCCATACTCACTACAAAGGGATAGCAATAGATGACCATTTGAGTTGGCCTTGCCAACACAATGTTTACCATTTACACTACTCCATACTAATGCATCCAACCTACAAATACTTTGAAATCACCCGGAAAAAATGGATGGACTTACTTCTCAACTGGTTGCGTAATTATCCTTAAATTCATCACAAGATTTCATGGACAGAGCATAGCAACTAAAGATGTCTGCATACTTATTTCTACTAATGGCATAACTCTCTCATTAATGCCAACAGGGACATATTCCAGATGTTTCCCCAAGACGTTCCGAATAGCAGACCAGACACCTGCTTATCTCTTAGCTCTCTCAGGCCTACCAATCCAGAAAAAGGTGTATCCACTGTCGACCTGCTAAAACAGCTAGTCTAGTTTCCAGGAAAGAAGCTACGCCGATTTTTTTTCTTTTTTAAGACACCAGCAATCAAAGCAGTTCTACGTTCAAGGTTTTTCTTACTATCTATATTCTCACATTCTAAGATTCAATAAAAAGATTTTTTAATATTTGACTTCTGTATTGTTCTTGTACAGTTTTGATTCCCAAACATCGTAATCATCCTAGTCATCCTAATTTTAGTAGGTAGAAAAACGAGTAAAACAATTTTTAGGACACATTTTCTTGGCCCTTCGTTACTCGGAGCAAAGCAATTCCGACATAAAATTGCTGCTTTCTTATACAAAGAGAACACGATTCATACAATTACTTGCAGTTGTTGTGCAAAACGGCCATCTACCCTTCATCACCCAATGTGCAAAGTTCAACCTAGGAAGCTTCAATGACATTTTTCATCTGTTTCCGTTCCTTCAACGCTACAGGATTTCAAGAGCCCAAAACATGGTTTTTATAGAACAACCTGTACTTGTTCATGGAGGCTATTGCTTGTGTAGCATAATGCACACTTTCTAAATCAAAACAGCATAGCCTATAATGGTGCAGGGTTTGCCACATGTCAGTTGCAAAAGTGATCGCAGGTTTTGAATCAGAATTTCCCTTTTCCTACAGAGAGATGTTATAACAAGGTCTAAGAAGTCTTTTTACCTGAGTAGTTTAATCATTCACCCGGGCACCTACCCAGGTATTTCTTTGTGTTCGCGATACACATACCGACTGTAACAGGAAAAATTGTCCGATTATTAGATTAAGCTCTGAACCGTCGTATCTTAAAAATGATTAAAAATATCTTACTGGAATTCTTCAAGGTTTTTATAACACTATTGGAGTTTACATTGAGCAATAATCATGTATATAATTACTCTCCATGCTTAACAGATGAATCGTGATGAAAGCGATCATAAACAAAAATGACATGTTCATCATTAATTAATCATAGCTAAGGATCGGAAGGATTGAAAGATTGAAATAAAGTTCAAATATATATATATATATATATATATATATATATATATATATATATATATATATATATTTCCAGGATCATTTTCAAATTTATTTAAGATGATCTTCGCCTTCTCTAACCGTCTCACTTTCTGTCCTGGAGTAACAAGTTGCCTCACAGGTTTCATGTACGATTTCATTTTTAAGTCTTTTTTCACTGCTCTTTGGACTGTCATAGCTGAAACTTCTCTTTCGCGTGCCAAACATCTTATACAGAGTTTGATCTTTTCTAATTGATCTCTTTAGCTCTAAATTCTTCCTGTTGTGACCTCCTGATCCAGTTTTCCTTTCTACTGTTCCCTCTTTTCAAACTTATTCACCGTTCTCTTGATAGTTCTTGAATAGACTTTGAAGATGGAAGCCAGAGTCTGAATGTTGGTAGCATTAATGAAGGCCAGAATGATCTTTTTCCTCTAACCATTGATCATTTGGGAAGACATAGTGGGACTGACACAAAACGATTCTAACCAGTTAACTTTCTAGCAAAATAACTCAAGGGTTTTTCAGTGATTCTTATGAAAAATGGTGTCTTATCTGAAAACCTGGGATGGACAATTTTGCAGTTACATGATTTGGACAGTTTGGCTGTGACAGTTTTGGTATATTATAAATATATTACACTGAAAATATTTTACAATGCTTTTCATAGTATTTTATCAAAAAATAAGAAAAGGGTAAAACAAAACAAAAAAAAACATCGGTAAATGTTGTTAAAGCTGTTTGAATTATAAATGTTTATTTAAATGCAAATTTACCTTTGGTGGCACAAAGCGAAAGAGGAAATGGGGGAAAAGCTGGCTTCTACAGCGAACGGATCTGATTCACGGCCTATACACTCAAACAATTGACTCAGTCACCACAAGAACTCACCCCTCTAAACCCAGTCCAACATTTACCAAAATACCGCATATTCCCAGGGAACAGGGGAAATAAACCAACTCTACTGAACTGGTATATATATACGGATTCTCGCGTCGTGAACCAACGCATGAGTACTTTATCGACACATTGACGATGAATCCTTTCGTGAGAGTAGAGTCCAATACTAGAATCGCAATCCCTATTGCAGGTGCTGCATTGGTAATGCGGGTTGTGGGTGCTACTGTTGGTCTTCCTCTTGGCATGTTTCTTAATGAGGAGACTAGACAGCCTGTTCTCAAAGTCATCGATGCCCTCTTTGTAAGGTCTCCTCCAGGTTGTACGGGCTTGGTTAGTACGGGCTTGGGTAGTACGGGCTTGGGTAGTACGGGCTTGGGTAGTACTTTCCACGCTATCAAGGCCGACCCCATATCTCTTGAGATTGTATTTAACAGTGTCCTTGTACCTCACTTTCGGTCTGTCTATTGTTCTCTTGTCGTGCTTTAGTTTTTACTGAAAAACATTTGCTTTGGGGAATTCTTGAGTCTTCCATCCGATATACGTGCCCCACCCAACGAAGCTGCGCCTTGATTATTTGAATTTCTAGGCTCGCCACAGCACATCATTCTAGGATCTCGACATTGGAGACTATATTCTGCCACTTAATTGCGATAGTCAAAGATAAACAAACCAAATAAACGTTACGACTCTAAACGCTTCTTCTAGAATCTCGTAAATTGCTTCCTCTTTCTTAAAAAAGTGAAAAGTATATATATATATATATATATGTGTGTGTAGGAAATGGGTTAAATCCGACCCATTCCTACTTTTAATTTATTTTGTTTAAACGTTATTTTTGTGGACACTTATATTTGAGTAGAAGCTCTGTTTTTAATTAAACTATTTTCATCCAACGACATCTATCGACCTGAATATTCGAGAAATCAGAAAAATATGCTAGGCTTCGAACCTGCATCCCTTATGGGAAATCGTCATTGCGTTTGACGTCTCTAAACGCTCGGTCACGTAGATCTTACCGTGTGCATGTGTGTGTATGCATATTTAATTACACGTTAATCGTATATTTAATTACAAATTTTAAGGAGAAATAAAGGAGGAAATATTTATATTTTCTATTTTCTTCAAATGTAATTTTTAGTGTACCGTTAAACTAATGAATGAATAAATGAATTGAATGTAAAACAGGTCATATCTCATAATTTCAACATTCCAATTCTGTTTATAATCATCCTGCATTTTTACTCTGATTGTTCATCGAATTTCTATTTTCTCTTCACTTTTTTCTTTGCATTTCACTTTTTCACGTAAATATTATTTAACTTCATTGTTTTTAATCCTTTCAATTTTCTTTCTGTCTTTTTATTTTGTCTTCTTCAAATTTCTCTTTTTAATTTTTGTTCCCTAAATATTTGCCTTCTTTTGCCAGACTTCTTTTGACTTAACTCTTTCGGATTTTTTCATATGTCTTTCCTCTCGTTTTCCATTCCATTAATCATCCCATTGCTCCCCTTTTCTCTATCTTCTTTCGTTTCTCTTTCTTCTTGTACATCTTCCTAACTCGCACTCAATTTTCTTTCGTTTTCATTTTAATGCTAATACTGTATAAACCTATTATCTCTTAGGCATCTTATTTAATTCTCACTTTATTGTCTCTGGTTTATGACCCTAATACCAACTTAATCTGGCGCAATTAAAATCCACCCAAGGCAAAATCAATGTGACTTTCAAACTGATTTCAGCTGAGCCGCAATCTGATTCCTATCCAAAATTCAATTACTTCCTGTTCGCCCTTGTCACAATCAATTCTCCGATAAAGTCGGCATAACTTTTCAGCTTGCATGAACCTGTTTAAGTATGCATTTACCTATCAGAAAGCGAGTTGGAAGCAAAATTCGGGTCTTCGAGTCGAAGCCAAATGTATAAATGGGATTAAGAAATGGTGGAATACTGCCAGTTTGTTGTTTGGCTCTTGTCTGGAATTTACTCTGAGAATTCATTTACGAATGATATGCGTGTTGCAAAGAAGATTTGCATAAAAAAAAACGCGATATAAATAAGAATAAAGGAAGTCATAAAAATGGAAAAAGTAATGAATAAATATTTCGAATGAAAAAAAAGAGATTAAAAAAAGAAAGAAGGAAACAAATGTAGGATTGGCCAATAAAAGAAAATGACAAGAAGAAAAACTGAAAAAAGAGAAACTCAATTTTATTTAGAATGAAAAAGCGTGAAATGACATGGCATGAACAGAGAGAAAGAAAGAAAGAAAGAATGAAGAAATGGATAAAAAACAGTTTCTTTCAAACTCTAAATTTATCGAATAAATGATGTCTGAATTTGGGATTAGAAAATATTTAAAAATGTTTAATTAGAATTGATTGACTAATATAGACTTCATTAATATCAACAAACTACTTCGCCCGATTTACAAGAATAGTATTTCTAAAGCCTTTTTAATTTGGAGGCAACTGATTGTTGTATAGAATAAAGTGTCGCTGCCGACACTTGATTTTGTACATAGATCACCAGAGAACAAACACAGGCGATCCCATTATTGAATTAAGTGGATCACGTGACCATAACGGAAACGCATATATAAGAAATCTCGTGATGTCTAGATTAATCATCATTCTATTCTATCCTATATTTCTATAGGGGCCGCTATTTCTCTACCCTATTCACATATTTTATTTCTCTTATTTATCGAGCCAGTATTATCGAGCAGGTACTATTAGTGCGAGTGTTATTCGAAGGCGTCTTATACCAGCATTGTTCAACGGCGTTACTGTAGTTTTAACTGCGACATAAAAGTCTCTGCTATAACGAGCCTTACGTAAGTGGCAACGAATATTCGTTGACATTACAAAAGGGTCAAAGAAGTTGATATCAGAAAACTAATGGATTGCATGTATTTAAAAAATGTAGTTCATCAAGATGTTTCTGTAAACTCTAGAATTTGTAGTAATCAGATATAGTAATATCTGGAAGATGTGGATTTGTTTCCTAGAAAACCTTGCCGATTATAACCATTGCTCTATAAATGGGCAATGGAATACCATTTCCTATGGATCGATCCTACAAATCAGTGTCAACTGTATTTGTGAATATCTATGCCGATAATACAACGATATATGGATGCACCTTCAAAACATGTGATGACCAGAGATTGGCAAATGAACTCTTATCCGATTTAGACGAATATCTCAGGGTGTGCGTGGGGGGGGATGAAATAGCTGACTACCAACCAAACTAGTTACATTCCATCATCGGATCCTGAACGACCACCAGTCACAGAGACTATTACGCCTTAAACTCACCCCTGACTTCAAGTGCAACTCATACACACAACCCATCGTTGAAGATGCAGAAAAAAATGGGCTTTTCTCGAAACTACCTCAGTAAATACTTCACTTCTCGTATTATACTCTACTTTTGCAGAAGCCAGATCAGGCCCAAAATGGAATACAGCCGTCATATTTGCTCAGGAGTTGCCCCGTCCTTACGTTCAAGCCTGGATAGAGTTCAAAAGCGTCTCCACGTCCTTTTGGGTGACAAATTATTTTCCAAGCCGCAAACCTCTCTCTCACAGACGGGATGTGTCAAGCCTCTCACTGCTCTATCGCTACTTACATGGAAAGTGCTCGGACGAGCTGCATTCCTTGATCCACCTGTTCATGGCTAGCAACCGCCATGACACTAACATTCTAGCTAACCACTCTCATTCGCTCTGTATTCAGTTAGTGAGAACTTTCACTCTAACAGCTTTTTTCCCGCAAATCACTGCTCTGTGGAACCGATTTCCAAGAGGATGTTTCTCCGATCACTACAGTCTTAACCTGTTCAATTCTAGAGTTAATAGTTATCTTCCCAAGGTAACCACATAAACTGCCTCTTAGTCTCAAACACTTTTATCTCGTGTGGCTTGCGTGCTTTGTATAGGGTGAGTCACACTGTAAAATAGCAACAACCTTTTTCATCACTTATGATATAAGTAAAGAACGGTTAGTTAGGATGTTGCATTAGTCATTACAAGTTAATAAAATGTGATGAAATTATAATAACGGTTACAATAAGAGAGGTTCTAATAATAATAATAATAATAATAATAATAATAATAATAATAATAACAATAATAATAGTAATAATAAAATTTGCCATATCTGCACTGGAAAATATACAACTTTTACGGGATGGAAACTGCAAGAAACTGATAGGAACATCACCCTGACCATGTTACAGAGATAGGACTTGAAACAATTTTATGGGACTTCACAATACACACAGAGAGGACAATCAAAGCTAATCGTCCAGACATTGTGATCAAAGACCACAAGAACAGAACGTGTTTTCTTATTGACATGGCACCTCCTAAATATTGTAATGTATCTTTGAAGGTTCTAAAAAACAAAAAAAAACAAAATAACTATCAAAATGCAAGCACCGTCAAGTGGAAATATAAAAAATGTGAGACATGAGGACATCAATAGTTTCACTTGCAGTTCGAGCACTCGGATTGATTGGAAAATATTCATAGACTCATTGAGGATTTTCCATGTACCCCATGTCTTTAAAAAAAATACAAAAATTGTACTCACAAGTACAGCTCACACATTACGAAGAGCTTTAACTATGCAAAATATGTGTGATCTTAATTTTTTTTCTTTGTATTTTTTTTACAGAAATGATCAGTTAAATATGATATAATCTTAGATCGTTGGTTGGGACCCGGAAGAAAATGTGTATACAACAGAAATCCAAGGAAATAATAATAATAATACACTATCTTATTAAATAATAATGGCCATAGTAATACGAAATCTGGTGCAATTGAAGAAGTGAGCAAGAAGAAAAACAAGTGAGCAATGATGAAAAAAAAAAAAGAAAGCAGGAATAAAGAAATAAATGAATAAAAAAAAGAGATAAATTTCAAAAAGGAAAGAAATAAAAATGTAAAGGAGGCGAAAGAAAAGGAAAAGGAGAAAATTAGAAGTATAAAAATAGATTATGGCTATCATTCTTCGGTGAAGATGTCAGAAGACTTGGAAAAAGTAAAAAAAATGTTGGAAAAAAACAGTAAAACGGGCGAAAGAAAATAATATCAGGAAACTAACGACAAATAAAGAGAAAACTGGAAAATAGAAATTTAATAAAAGAAATATTATAAACCGAAATCAATAGATAAAAAATGTTGTTTCTATTTCTTTTCATATTAACAATGGCGCTGACTACTGCCAAAAATTCTACGATGCCTGAAGAATATCCTTGTGCGATGGTCTCGGCCATTATTCTTATTATGTATTCTCGCTTTTCCTTGTTTGAAATATATCCATCTTGCTGCCTATAAGGCTCGCCATTTATAAAATTCTATTGGCTTGGAAAACTGCCACACTGGACTGAAACCGAAAATTTGCTTCCAAGACAACATTCCACGCTTCTTATTACTATGGCTATCCGCCATAATGCAAGATGTATGATTTTTCTTCTCATCATTTATTTCTGCCTCTGTAACCAAGTCTGTCCGTGCATCTATCTATCTATCTATCTATCTATCTATCTCTCTCTCTCTCTCTCTCTATATATATATATATATATATATATATATATATATATATATATATCTGTTAGAAAAAAAGAAGTCTGCTCGTATCTATCTATCTATCTATCTATATATCTATCTGTTAGATAGACATAGACGCCTGTTCGCAACTATCTATTTCTCTTTCCCCTTGGCTCTGTCTCTCTCTGTACATATATCTGTTAAAAAATAGACGTCTGTTTGTATCCCTCTCTCTTTATATATATATATATATATATATATATATATATATATAGATAGATAGATAGATAGATAGATAGATGGATGGATATGTTAGATAGACATATAGATAGATAGACGTCTATTTCTATCTATCTATTTATCTATCTATCTATCTCAATATATTCATATCTGTTAATAAACTCGTTAAAATTTTTCAACACCCCAAGTTTTATTGTTTATAAACAAGGTCTATAATTAAGCCTATAAACGACAATAGAGAAAACAGACAGTAAATTATCTCAACAATTTTCAAACAGGCTATTTTCTTAATACATGCATACTCACCAATAAACACACCCCCAAGTATATATATATATATATATATATATATATATATATATATATATATATATATATATATAAGGTCTGTCTGAAATTCAACGGGACTGATTTCATTCTTCGATGTGAGAGGTATCGTCCACAGTGAGTTCCTGCCACAGGGCCAGGTGATCAATCAGTAACTCTATAAAGAGATCCTGCGGAATTTTCTTCGCTCAGTGCACGAGAAGAAACGAGAGTCGTGGCAGGACAAATTGTAGCTGTTTCACCACTACAATGTACCGGCTCACAATGCCGTGAGCTTCCAGAAGAAGAACATCGCCGTACTCAAAAAACCTCCCTATTACACCTGATCTTACTCCGTGTGACATTTATCTTTTCTCCAGGCTCAAGCTGATATTCAAGGAGACCAATTTTGAACGTGTGGAGGCTATCAAGTGGCCCGTAACGCCGGAGCTGAGAGGCACCCAAGAAGAATCCAGCAGTGCTTATAAACGTGGCAGAGAAGGATGGAAATGTACATTAGACTCAAGAAGGATTACTTTGATGGGGAAACCATTTCGTTTGGAATTGAAATAAATTGTTTGTGACACCAGTTCCCGTTACTTCTCATACAGTCCCTGTATACAGGGTACGATTGATAACTTGTCATTTAAATGACGCAAAAATGGAAAATAAAAGTGACATCTCATTTTAACAGATATGTTGACAAAAATTATACAAAAAATATTTTGAAATACTAAAATGTATATTTATTCAATAAAATCGATATTGGCTTCAACCACGGCCTCCACACGACTTCGGAATCTCCTGCAACTCTTTTGGATGGTCTCCTTGTTTAAGTTGGTGGATGCTGTTATCATCCTTGCCTTCAGTTCATCTTTGGTTTTTCGAGGAGTTTTGTTGATCATTTCCTCAACTGCGTCCCATACATAATAATCAAGAGCGTTGCAGTCTAGGAAGTTAGATATAAGGTATGATGTGCTCGCAGAAATTGTAAACATTTTAGGTTATATGCGTATACATCAATTTTACATCCCATAGTTCATATTTTGATTTGTCATCGTTGAAGCAGAATCTATTCCTGGGCTCATAACCTGTTGAGTGAGTAGCCATAGTCATATGCAAAATAAATATCAGAACTGCCCAACCATCAGAATTAACAAAATTTGCAATAAAAAGGAAAACAAAGAAAGGTGCAAAAATAAAATAATATTAAGCAAACAAGCAAACAATATAAGCAAAGCAAAACAGGTAAGAAAGCAAACAGTTCATAAATTACGATTTGGCGTCTACACACAAAAGCAAAATCAGACAAGCGAACGCAGTGGTCTGTCTTCTAGACAAGTCATATCTGGATTGAGTCATTTCAAACTGCAAGCCGCCCTATTTTATTGCCTAAGAAAAATATCCCGGTATCATGCATTTGTGAACTTCTGCCTATAAAAGGGGAGGGGAAAATGTTTTGCTGTCATTTGAGAAGGCCTTTATTGTTTTTTTTTATTATTTATGTTCGACTGTTTCGTAATTTGTCTTGCTTTCTAATGTTTTTACTTACCTATAGTTTTATATATTTAAAAACATTTAATTTTTTTGTGAGCTTCTAAACAAAATATATATAATATTGATATATGTACAGTATATATATATATATATATGGGCGATGGGAGACAACTGGCTCTACTTTGTGCAGATAAAACTCGATAGCTCAGGAAGACAATCCATCTAAGGGAAAGATAACTTTGATTTTAAACCTCTGCTGTCTTGCATTCATATCCAATCATGAAAAAGGCTCTGCGTGTAAATCCAGGCAGAAAAAAAACCTGAAAGCAGTTGGTTGTCAACACTGAAAACTCCGGCAACTCCAGCAGTCAAGCTGGTACGGCCGAGAGGGAGTCCATCTGGACAGTATGCGACCTCCACATATATATCGCTTAGACCTTCGCCCTGGAGAGGTCACTTCAGTCTTACCATCAAATCGCGAAATAAACAGACGCCTATTATGCACGAAACGATTTTCCTTTAAAATGTCATCTCTTCTATTTTAACAAAATTTGCACAAATGTTTTGTAAAAAAAAACCCAACGCCACTATTTTAGGGTTATTTTCAGATAGAATAAAAAGTTTTATCACTTTCCACACGGGTGAAGAGAAAACTGAAGGTAACACAAATGTGGATCTACAGAAGGATGCTGAGATTATCACTAGACGGAGCGCGTAATCGACGAGGCGTTTTAAAGAAAATAAAATCAGAGAGAACATACATAATCCGAATAAGAAAGAGTTAGCTGAAATTTCTAGGAGACATAAGGGAAGATACCCTGTAGAATCTGAGACTTACAGGAGATATAGAAAGGAAAAGAGGCAGGTGGAAATATTAACTTGTATTAATAGAGAGCAGAACGTGAGACTGAAGTAGTAAACGTTACTAGGAGCTACAAAGGGGCGGAAATTGTGGAGAGCCATAATCGCTCACATCCTGAATGGACAAAACACATAGAACTCAGATTTCGATAATATGCAAACTAATTAAAAAATATTACATATATATAATAAAATGGACAAAGTCCGACAATTATTTTCAGACATTTTTTATGTTTATACTTTCTTTTTATAGATACAAATATTTAAGTAAATGATCTGTTTTTAATAAAGAGTATTTATGACATTTATCGGCCTGAATGTCCGATAAATTTTCATAGAAAATATGCGTCCTCCGATAAGAATCGAACCTGTATGGAACCCCAAATGCCTGACCGATAACTTTTTAATTTAGCCATAGAGGCAGGTTATTTTTTTTATTTTTGTTGCTGTCGGAGGATGCATATATATATATATATATATATATATATATATATTTCCTGAATATATTTTTATAATATATATATATATATATATATATATATATATATATATATAGTGAATAATTGTAATATATATATATTTTGTAATATATGATATATAGTGACTAATAGATTTTAAAGTAGATATATATATGTATTTGACTAATTGTAATATATATATATATATATATATATATATATATATATATATATATATATATATATTTTTGCAGATATAGTCAAACCTTTTAAAATACCAGAGAAATAAATGAGCATTGTTTTGCTCTAAGGACCTGGTTTGCCAAACTATAAACAAAGTTTTATTTTTTTTTAAATAAAAAGAATACACAATTCGATGCCTACGGAAATGTACATTTTATTAATAAATGTTATAATGGAGTTCGTCTTAACAGTTTCCATGGAAATAGCGACAGATCAGCAAGAGACTTGTGATCTTTCTTCTATGAGAAAAGCGGTTAAAAATAATTCGGTAGTCTTGAACTCTATTGAAACTGGAAAGGGTCCTTAACGACCAAAAAATATATGTGAATAAAAATCAATTTTTCAGTCTGATCCGGTTCTTTGAAAGAATAACAGGAGGAATCAGGTACCTACTAGAGCGTTACATGAATCTAACCATTTTCACAACCAGTTTTTCTCCTACTGAGCTGTAAGATCTCGGTCAGAGGAAATATCTGCTGCCAATCTCTGATCATCTAGTGTTTTGGCGGTGAAGCCATATACCGTTGTATCATCGATATCCATAAATGATCAATATACTCTTAGCCATTTTACGCTAAATAGAAAGAGCTTTCCACATTGAACAGAAGAAACCTTTGAGGACGCCTATTGATCGCTTATGGCTCGGGGGACAAGCCATCATAAAGACACAAAAAAAAAACACACACGCACGCGCGTATTAAAATACACATACATACACACACACACACACATACATATATATATATATATATATATATATATATATATATATATATATATATATATATATTACAATTCAAAACTTTGTAGCCACTCCCAGAATTGCATGAGCTGAACTTGACAGAAGAAAAATGAAAAAGATCTCTTAGAGTCATTGAAGCAAAAGTATGGAATCAATTATCAAACTTTTGCAATGAATGCCTAAAATTTGTGCTGCTGTAATAAATGCTAAAGGAGGATATTTTGACGAGAGCTAAATCTAATCATAAAGAGCATTTTTTTCTTTTTGTGATTATAAAATCTCTAATAAAAATCGTGTATCTTTTTTAAGAATGTATAATAATTTTTTAAACCATACCACAGGTTGACCCAAACCTTGTGAGTGAAATTGGTTAGACAAGACCCTTGGGGCGTCGATAGCTGTATTAGCACGAAAGTCACAAGTCATCGTGACCGAGGGTTTGAGCGTGCTGGCCTTGTTCAGATTGTTGATCATGCTAGATAACACACTTTCTCCCAGAAACAGTAACTAAGTTCTACTCAGCATAGTTGCAGTATAAAGCACAGGCTGACTCTGTGGGTGTTGAACAAACACACATATGCCTGAGCGTCTACAATAGGGATTGGCTAGCCGCCCTAATAGACAGGTATCCTCAAATATGGCCAGCTATTATATATATATATATATATATATATATATATATATATATATATATATATTTATAATTCAGTATATTTTATATAAAAATTTTTTGTAAAATCATATTATTTTATTTGTGTGTGTGTAAAATATCCATATGTGACATGATATTGTGTAAAATGTAATATAAGAATTTATTAAACTATACTCATAATAAATTAGGTTATTTAATATGGATAAATGTTG